GACCCTGGTCAGGGACAGGGACCCCAAAGATGCTTACGAGGCCGCAGAAATTGCAGACCGACTGTTGCTAAACCGTGAGCAGCCCCCCTACTCTGGGAAGGAGCAAAGAGGGGGGAAGGGAGGCCCAGGTCAAAAAGGGGAAAGAGGGCCACCTCCTGCCGAGCGCAAGGCGGCCCCAGACTCGGACAGACCACCCAATTGGGAAAGGAGGGGGTGCTATAACTGCGGGGAGCAGGGCCACATCAAGCCCAACTGCCCAAAGCTAAGCACTAGACCCCGGCCCACCACACAGGCGAAGCACATGCAGAGATGTGGTGTGCAGGGGATCGACAACAAAGAGCAAAGACAACCCCAGAGACCTGCACACAGTGCCCAAAGGCCACCTCCACCCATCTGCCCACCAGCTCGCTTCCAGGAGTCCCCTTCCTTGTCTACAACGTGCCAGCGCCCTCACCGAGCCCTCCGGATGAGTGGTGGCCACGGCCAGAGCGCCCCAGACTTGCTGCCCCTCTGCCAGGTCTCAATGTGGACCATCCTCAACCTACAGGCAGGTGGCAGGGCTGGCGTCTCCCTGCCTTCTTCCTGCAAGGAGCTTTGCACGATTCTCAGGCATCGTCCCCTCCATCCCGCAAACAAGGGGGACGCTAAAGTGCGCGCAAGGCAATGCCTCCGCGCTGCCCCCAGGCAGAGCTAAGCTCCCCAGCCCCAGCTAGCGCCAGGCTCTCGGTGCCCCCTACAACAGAGAAACAAGAGAGCCGCAGCCGGGTGAGATGCGTTTTCTTCCCGTCGCGTGTAGTGTTGCCTAGAGGAGCGTTCCCTCCCCTCCAGCTGTGTTGCCTGGAAGTGCCCCAGGAGCAGACCGGGAGCGCTGGCACGCATCCTTCTTCCAGAGCCCCCCAAAGCAGCCCTGGGTGGCAGCGGGGGGCAGATGGCGGGATGGCCAGAGCCATGTTCTCACTGGATGAGCCCTGGCGTCAGCAGCGTGGTCTCGTCGGCATCATGGAAGAGGACCCGATGGCTGCCCTGCAGCTCCTGCTCTACTGGAGACATGGGTGAGGTGGGTCCGGGGAGGAGAGGAGGAAGGGGGGGAGAACAGGAGATGCTGAAAGTCAAGGGCTGGCTCAGCTGGGACTCACCCACCGGCTTAGCCCTGCAGAGGCTGAAGCATGGGAGGTCTCTTAGGCCGGTACAGGGCCCCAGAGCCTTGCAAAGCCATGCGCCTGTGCGCCTGCACGCTCAGGGAGGGCTCCGCTTAGGGGCCTCCCCCAGCCCCAGTTGGCAGCAGCTCCCGGCCCAAGTGCTTGGGGCACTTCTTTGGAGGCCGCTGCTCCGTACTGGACCGTGCACAGTCAAGCAGGAGCCAAGGCTGGCACACAGACAGGGCCCAGGAAGACCACAGCAGGTGTCTTAGCAGGTATTGAGCCAAGGCACTGTCCCTACCCCGGTCAGGACCCTGGCCTTGCTCACCTGCCTCCTCCAGGCTGGGGAAATGCTGAAATCCTTCCAGGTTCGCAGACAGCAAGACATGGAGAACATGAGGCTGGGGGGAGAGGGCAGAGGGGTGTCACGGCATCCCGCTTCCAGCACTCGGAGCCTGCCAGGGCCCCCAAATGGCTCGTCCTGAAGGATGGGCCATGCCAAACCCACCCTTAAAACTCAACCACAGGACGGCGAGAGCTGCAGCCCCCACCCCGTACGCACACCTGGTGCAGCCCGGTGACCCCCAGGCCCTGCGGCCACAGCAGAAGAGGGACAGCACAGCATCCCCCATCTCGACTGCAGCCATGGAGAGGGCTGGCCCAAGCCCCCACGCTCCCCCCAGCCCGCTGGGGCCTGTCCTCTCCACACGTGGCGGCACCGTGGCAAGGACAAGGCTCAGGTGCTCAGTACGCTGCAGCTGCAGCCCCCCCAAAAGAAACAAGTGGAGCTGCGCCTCTCTGCCATGCCCATGCTATTACAGATCACGGCACTGCCTGAGGGGCAGCACGCGTGTAGCGGTGCCCCCCAGACTGGCCAGCTGACGCTGCTGCCCACGGCCACACGCACCTGCAGGCTGCAGAAGACGAGGGAGATGCCCTTCTTGAGCAACTCCTGCAGCAGGTCCGCCAGCCCCCGCACGACCGTGTAGTCGATGCTGCTGATGTGTGTGCAGTCCAGGACGACGCAGCGCGCTGGTGACCCTGCTGGGAGAGCATCACGTGGGCGCCTCGCAGCAAGCCCAGCAGCACCTGGAGTGGCCTTACGGGGCAGGAGGCACAGGGATGAGCTTGGCAGCAGCATCCCCTCACTCGTGCAAGGGTTTGGGACACTGGAACAGAAGAAGGGGACCTGAGGTCCCTTGTAGACCTACATCCTGAGGTCTGTGCCTTCATAGCCTCGCTGTAGGCAGGAGGGTGTCTGGGGGGTGGTTAGGAGACAGCCAGCTCCTTACAGGTGGGTGCAACATCCCCAGGCATTGGCCTGCAAGGGTAGCATGAATTGGGCCATGTGTGGAGGGACGGTGGGATTGTCCTGTAGTGTTTCTAGGATCTGCCAAACCCCAGTGGCAGGCTGCCAGCCCCGGCACAGCGCCCCGTACCTGCCAGCGCCCGTTGGTGCACGGCTTCCCGGAGGTGCTCGACAGCTGGGAAGTGCAGGCCGCTCGCAGGCTGCAGGAGAAGCACCCCCTGCTCGGAGACCTGCAGAAGAGAGAGCAGAAGAGGGGGCTGGAACGTGCCCAGGACCCCGTGATGGCCTCTGTTCCCCCTCCTATCCTGGAGAGAAATGGGCATATGGTCACAAGCCTCTATGCCTTGCTTTGTAGGGGCAGACAGTGGAGCCTTCACCCCATCTCCCACCTCACATCATCTCCTACCCCACAGCTGCGTGCACTGAGAGCGTGTCGGCAGTGCTGAGAGGGCACCCACCCCGCTCGGAGCTGTGTGGGCTTATCCCTCCCTCCTGTCCTCATGGCCCCATGTCCGACCGGAGACGGTGATACGGAGGAAGGCTGCAGGAGCAACATTAGAGGCACCGCAATGCATCCAGCCACCGCTCCGGGGGGAGAGACCTGCACAGATGAAAAAGCCCTCCTGATGCTGCAGGAGGCCTGAACCGAACCTCTATTGGGGGCCTGGCAATGGTGTAGAGCAGGAGGATCCCCGAGACCAGGATGCCAGCCACGATGCCGTATTGCACCTCCCAGAAGCACAGCACGAAGGTCACGCACAGCGGCACGAGGTCGAGCTCTGGAAGACAGACGCCAGGTGCTGCCCCACGCTGCCCTCTCACCTGGGCTGACGCAGCTGCAGCGCCTGGGGCGGGAGGAGAAGCCCCTGGTCTCTATTCAGGGGTGCAGATGGTTCAGGGTCTGGTGCTGGAATAAGCCTTCTGGCTTCAATCCTGAGCAGACCACTGATGTAACGGGGTTGCAGGGCGGGCAGGCTGGGGCCAAGGTCTAGTCTCTGGAGGAAAGCAGCAGGCCAGCATCCCCGAGAGAAAGCGTGACAGAAGTGCTGGGGCTTCCACGGTGCTAGGATGGGGCAACATCCCCTCTTGGCCTGGGGCACCCCAGCAGCCTGGGGGCCTGGCAGGGTGCAGAGCACACGGGTGTGAGCAGGCACCGCTCCAGTGTGGTGCTTGGGCACGGGAATGTCACGCCCAGGACTGTTCTCTGCAGCTCCTGCACCGGCAGCTCCCACGTGAGTCACAAGACGATGCTTGCATCCAGCTGTATGTGCACGAAGACGTGTGCAGTCAACCCGATGAACGCCCTCGACCAAAGCAGGGCCCGTCCCCACCGCCCTAGACCCAGCGTGGGGCACCGAGCTGAGGCAGGGAGGGCAGTAGGCCAGACCCAGACAAGTGCGTGTGGCTCATGCCCCTACTTTTAACACGCCACAGCGTCCTGAAGATCCCGGCGTCAAACATGGGAGCCACGGCCCCGATGATGACGGCAGCCAGCGCCGCCTTGGGAATGTAGTAGAAGGAGGAGGTCAGGTAGGCCAGGGAGAGCAGGACCAAGGTCCCTGCGGGGACAAGGCACGTGGTGAGACACGGGCATGCTGGCACCAACCCACTGGGCACGGCCTCCCCAGCCCCAGCCATTACAACCTCCCCTCGACCCCACGCATGGGGCCCCAACGCAGGACTCACTAACAGCCGAGGGGCTGCCCAGCCAGGCCCAGGGCATGGGGATGAGGGGCGCAAGGGCAGCGCCAGCACCCACCTGTGACCAGCCCCCCGGCTGGGGTGCACACACCAGACTGTGCATTCACTGCAGTCCTGGGATGCAAAGCACGTGCACTGTTACAGGCTGAAGGGAAGGAGGCACCAACCGCCCAGCAGAAGCAAACCCTCAGTGGCCGGGAGCAGGGGAAATGCAGCCGACTCAGCCCCATGCGCCCCGCACGGGCCAGCCTGGGCTCCCCTGCCCCAGTACCAGAGACCCTCCCGTGGCCCCTTCCACCCCAAGCACTGAGTTGCTCAGCCGGGCCCTTCTCACAGGGGCTACTCACCGCCCAAAGCTGCCCGTGACCGGGTAGGATGAGACGAAGGAGCCCAGGAGGTTGGTGCAGCCTGGGGGAGACGGAGGGAAGAGAAGGGGTGTTGAGTGGTGCAGTCACCGGATGGGATGCTGCCCAGGGGGACGGGGTGAGCCAGTCTCCCTCAACCCCTTCCCGGACTCCTGCCACCCCCAGGGAGCAAACAGACGGGTGGGGGCAGGACCCCAACCCCCTGGCTGGGTCTCTGGAGCAGCCCCACAGCCCATCCTGGCTCCCCTGCGGGCTGGGCTCTTACCCATGGCCAGCAGCTCCTGATTGGGGTCGATTCTGTAGCTATTCTGCGAGGCTGGAAGGAGAAAGGAGTGACAGGGAGGCATTGCCTCGGTACCCCACAGCTGCCCATGGCCACAAATCCCACCCGTGGCCTGCACAACAACCTCGGTGCCCGGGCAAGCAGGGTGCATGGAGGAGTAAGAAAGCCATTGGTGGGGCAGGGGAGGGAAACCTAGGGCTGCCCAAAACACAGACCCTGCTGGGCCTCTTCACCCACGTCCCCTGGGCATGAGACCCCCCACCCCGACACAGATGCAGACTGTGCAGCAGCCAGGGCTGGACAGACCCATGGAGAGCCCCTCTCCTCCACCCAGATACACAGAAACTGCCCTCCTGGGGCAGCAGGTGAGAGGGAGGAGGGAAATGCCCAGTGTTCCCAGTAAAGGAGGGAAATGCAAGTGTTCTCCCGTGTGCAGAGGCCCCAGACCCTCCTCCCCGGGACCACCAAAACCCCGCGGGAGCCTGGCACAGCCCTACCAAAGGCCTTGGCGATTGCGATGGTCTCCAGGAGGCCCATGAGTGGCACCACGGCCAGCCCAGCTCCCAGGTCCTGGGCAAGGGAAGGAAGAGGTGTGAGAGCAGGGAGTGCCCAGGTGAGGATGCCCACCCCCCGTCATGTCCCAGAGCAGCAGGGAGAGCCGACCGCATGCCAGGGTCTCGCATAGGGCCGTGCAAGCGGAGCTGCTGGCAGCATTCCCGAGGCTCCACCAGTCCCCAGATACAGGGGGGTCCCGTAAGGGGGCGAGACCCCCACTCCTATATGGATTTCTGCCTCTTCCCACTGCAAAGGTGCAGCACGACAGAAGCACACCTGGGACGAGCCCACCCCCCTCCAGCCCCACCTCAGCCCCCCGCTTCACCCACCTGAACCATCTCGCCAAAGGGGACGGTGCCGTTGGCCGTGACCTTGGAGAAAGGAGGCGGCTGGAAGGGAGGCAGCCCCTTGGGCGTCTCCCCGGTGAGCACGAAGGGCTGGGAGCCTGTCACCTGGAACGAGTAGGCAACCAGGCCAGCAAACAGGACCACGAGGGCGTTGCGGGCTACAGCAGGGAGGAAGCGAGCAGAGTGAAGGCATCGTGCCATGCCCGCAGCACCCACAGGCTGCTGGGGGGCTCAGAGGAGAGATGTGCATTGGCAGCTCATCCTAGCCCGGGAGGCGATGCCCTCCAAGCACAGGTCCCAGGGGTCTCTGCTCCGGCAGGGGCAGGTACCGATGGTCCGGGCAGGGCCATCTCATGCCAGGGCCCCAAGCAGCCGTCCTCTTACAACAGCTCATGGTCCCTGGGTGAGACCCAGGCCTGGCAGGGAAAGGTCCCAGCCCCATCGCTCTTCCCGGAGCCCCCGGACCCCAGGGCTGTGCATGCCACCTCCTCCCTCCGTTGGCCCGGAGCAGCCCCGGCCCCGCCCCGGCCCCGCGGCACGTTGGTGCAGGGCACGTGCAAACCCAGCCAACCTGTCGCCGTGGCCCAGACGATCAGATGACCCATCCTGACCAGCAGCGGCTCCATCTGGCAGCCCCGGGGGACGTGGCCCTTCATGCACCTGAGCCCCGTGAGCACGACCAGGCAGGCCAGCCCCAGGGTGGCATCCCCGACCCTACAAACAGCTCGGATCAGTGCCCAGCCTGGGAGCCGTTGCACCCATCACAGCTGCGAGGGCTTCTCCCTGCTGAGAAGGGGGAACCCCCCGAGGCCCCATTGCGAGCAGTGGAGATGTCCTGACAGCAAGCAGACCCGCTCTCTGGGCTCACGCTCCAGCTGGAAAGACACGGGAGCTTCCCCCACTGACGAGAGAAGGCTCCTCCCAGCTAACGAGGGCAAAGGGACGAGTATAGCAGGAGCCACTGCCAACTGGAGCCATCCCAAGGCAAACCGCTCCTGTCCTCGATTCAACCTCCCACTGCCCCGGTCCCACGGGCACAGAGCAAACCTTGTACCCGCTCGCCCCTGGGCTTGTGACCATAGCGGGGCGATACGAGCGGCTGAGCTCAGAGCCACGGGCTCAGAGCAATGGGAAATAATTTGACTCCATCCCTCCCTTTTGGGCAGTTGGGGCACTGAGCCCATTTCCTGTCCAGTCCAACTGGCTGCAGAGAGCACGAGCCCTGCGCGAGCTCAGGGCAGAGTCCGGAGGAATTAGCTCCCCAGGGTGAGAGGATGCCCCGGCCTTCCTGGGTGCTGAGAGCTTTCCAGGTGTGCTCCCTGCTCTGAGGGGCTTTGCTGGAAGGGACGGACAAGGGTCGCTGACCTGGTCTCCCCGATGCGCCGGAAAGTCTCGTACACCTGCAGGAAGAACTGCCGTGGGATGCCGTGCAGCCCCAGGATGTTCTGTGCAAACGAGCAGAGCCCCGTGACTGCCCAGCACCGCACCGTGAGCCCTGCCACCCGCTCGTCACGGTGCTGCCGTCAGGCTGCAAGCCCCGGACGGGGACTTTTCTCCTGGCCCTTGCCCTCTCCCAGTGCCACCCAGCCCCAGGGTTCAGAGGGGAACCAGCTCACAGGCCCTGACCCCCATCCCCCTGGAGCCTGGCTGGCAAAACCCTCCCCACTAACGGTCATTGAATCCAAGGCAGGTAATTTAACCCACCCCCAGACTCCCCACGCCTCATCTATCACGGGAACGGGACAGCGATGAGGCCCATGGAGCTCAGCGGTTCCTACTGCATGTAGCACCGGTTGCAACCACGTGACATTAGCTGCCGTCTCTGTTTTCTAGCCCTGCGTCTCTGATTACGGTCAACCACAAAGGAAACACTCCCTTCCCGCCTCACCCAGCATTGCGCAAAACCACCCCAGGCACCAGGGAACTGGCCCAGCTGCCTGCCAGTCCAACCTCGCGGCCAATCCCAGTGCCTCGGAGCAAATCACACCCCACCACAGGCGAGCAACAATCAGACAGAGGCATCATTTGCTGAGAGTTTTGGTGAATATGTCCAGGCACAACCTCTCTCCTTGCTCCTGCCAGAGGGGACGGGCTATTTCCAAGGGGAGCAGGTCCGGCTGCACAGTCAGGCTACAAGACCCGATCCAGCAGTGTGCATGGAAGTGCTCTCCTCGTTCACCCGCAGATCAGCAGGACCGGCAGCACGCGCAGCGCGGAGGATGGAGACAGCCTGGAGCTCAGGGGCGCCAGCAGTGGGGCAGGCTGGCCATGCCACATTGCGTGCACGCTCCGAGAATGATTTTGCATGGCTGCCTGAGGGCTCCTAGGCAAATTAAACCAAAGAAACAGCCACAGCAAAAGGCCTACCTTGACCTGGCTGAAGCTAATGGTGACTGAAGCAGCTGACGTAAAGCCTGTAATGACGGGGTAGGAAATGAAGTCCAGCAGGAAACCTGTAACGGATGCAGATGGGTGCAGTGAGCAGGTCTCAGGCGCAGAATGCAGCACACCCACACATGCACACGCAGAGCAAAGCTTTGCAAGCCGTAGCTAGACAGCACAGAGATGGGGGAAGCGTGTCGCTTGAACAGAATAACAAAATGCATTGCGTGGAAACGGGGGCAGAGCGGGGCCTGCCGCGTCTCACCCAGGTGCAGGAGGCCCATGGCTAGCTGGATGCAGCCCGAGAGGAAGGCGAGCAGGGTGGCGTAGGCAGGGTCGTGGAAGGCGTATGAAGAGACCAGCAGCGACATAATGGCCGTGGGGCCCAGCGTCACGTCTTTGGAGGTGCCCAGGAGGCAGTAAACGAAGCAGCCCACGAAAGAGGAATAGAGACCGTACTGTGCGAGGACAAAGAGAGCATTCAGCCCTGCCAGGGCCCGGGCTGGCGGATGCTCCCGCCACGGAGGCGTCCCAGGGCCCTCGCTGCTCGGCACGAGATCAACGGGCAGAGCGTGGTCGGCTGCAAGCCGTTCCTCACTACAGTGTCCGTAAGGTATAGGTCTTATATGCCTTACAGATATGCCTTGAATATCTGCCTTAACCTACCAGATGAAAACTCGTGCACCCGTTACAATACACGCACCTCCAGAATGGCGCTCCCGTGCACCCGTCTGCAAGGCATCGCCTCTGCTCAGGCGCTCTCAGAAACACCTCCAGGAACGTACAAGCCGTCAGGCTCCAACCTCGACCCCCCGGGCACCTGGGACCCGCTGCAACCATGGTGTTACCACTCCATGGGTGACCAGCCAGCTGGTCCTAGGCAGGCGCTGTGCCCCCGCAGCGAAGGGCACCCCTTGCAAACACTGAGGACGCCGGGGTGTGCACGGCGTGCTCACCTGGCAGCACTGACCTAACTCCGGAAGTGGGAAGGCCCTCTGTGATGGCAGCATGGCAGGCAAGAAGCCCGTGGCATCGTTACAAACACGTAATAATACTACTACCGGGATAACCAACGTGCCACGGGGGCCTCGGCCCTGCTGTGCTGGAAGCGAGAGGTGCTGTCCACAGGGCAAGCAAACTGCTTGCACTTGGAGCGCTTGAGTCCGAAGCTCGGCCCTTTCCCCCGCCACGAGCGGGGTCCCTGCCCGAGGAAGGGGGAAGCGGGGAATCAGCCCTGTTGGTCTCCCCGAGACGACTCCGTGTCTACAACCGCGCTGCTCACCTGGGCTGGCAGGCCAGCCACCTCTGCATAGGGAGCCCGGCGCGAGATCCACCTTGGGGCGCGCTGCAAATACATGGATCCACAGAAAGGAACCCGCTCGTGCAGCAGTGCGTGTGCGTGTGCGTGTGCTTTACACGCGTGCGGGTGCGTGTGCCGTCCTGAGCCAGCCACGAAGCAGGTGAGGACACCTCCCGGGAGCAAATACATGGATCCACAGAAAGGAACCCGCTCGTGCAGCAGTGCGTGTGCGTGTGCGTGTGCTTTACACGCGTGCGGGTGCGTGTGCCGTCCTGAGCCAGCCACGAAGCAGGTGAGGACACCTCCCGGGACGGGTTCAGGCCGGAGGTCTCCCCTCCACGGCCCGGTGCAAGCTGCGGGGGCCGGGGCAGCAAAGCCAAGTCGGCTCCTTCTTGCCCGGC